GCGAAATTATCAAGGCTCGTTACGCCGCTAAACTTTCCGTAAATAATTTGACGTGCGGCGATTCATTCGCATGAAGGCTGCAGAATGGACGCCAAAACCATGCTGAGATTCTTGTAGCTATTTTCGGTCGCGACGTCGCTCGTGCTGCAAAAGTGTAAAAGGTAGCGGCGATGATCGATGTCCATACTGAAAATCGGAAGCGGGAACAGACCAAGCGTAACAAGTAGGTGATGGCCACCGGTACCAATAATTAACATCTTGTATCTACTGTTTACACCGAGCCTACTTAAGCCTTTTGAGGCCTGCAATTACTTCTTATCGTAATCACCGGGTCAAAGTTTGGCCAACGGGCCGCTTTTGTTTGAACGAGCAGACGACAAAAAGCAGACAACTTTGAAAGAGCAGACGAAGGTTCGAACGATCAGGTGGCAGTGTGAATTTGAAGACGCACTGAACCCGTGGGTGGCCCGGACGACTTGGGGGTTTTCTCTCGTTCATGTTGGAACAAAGAAAATACATCTGGCGACCACAAATTGTGGCCCGCACACGCAATCGTAGTTCGACAGCGTCTGGTTTGCCCTTTTCACGGCTACTATCTACGTTCTCGGACGAACGGAGGGTGCAAAAACACATGAAAACTGATCTTCAAACCTTTCCAGACTCTCTTGGTAAAGGCCCCGTCGCAGCATTTTAACGAGAAGGCAGGTTTTTTGTCTCGTTTCTTCCAAAGGAACACAGGAATGCATGTCTGGCACGGCGACTTCTGCCCACCGCCCCATACCGGAAGTGCGTCCGGCGCGCCACCACCGCGGCGTGACGTAGGAGAGTTGAGTTGGTGTATAAACGAAGCCCATAAACAACGTGACACCGATGGAGCAGTTGTACACTCTCTTTAATACAGGCTCCTTATGTCCCGCTGTCGCCGGCCGCGATCCTGGCGGTGTCCCAGCAGTGGTGGTGGATGTGGCACACGCCTGTTCTGCTGCGGATCGCTCTCCATTGTGACAGTCAACGGAAGTTTTGGCAGAAAAGAAGTTGGCACTCCGCGACACCAGCGACACTCGCGATCGTTTGAACTTTTTGCCGGGAATTGTAGAACCAACCGCCAGGATAGCGAAATCCAACAAAACAACTACATCGAACAAAGCACACTTAGCATTACCTGATCAGTCTTCCCGCCGTAAAAATGCTCGTCTGTGTTTATTATGCGAGCTTTATCATCCTTACTTCCTCCGCTAGAAACTCGAACCATCATATCAATCATCTTGTCTCCCTCGTATATATATATATATATATATAATGTTGTCATACCAAGCGTTAACACTCACACACCCCTAACATCACATGACTGAAAACAGCTTCCCGCTTTAATTGCGGCGTTTAATGATCCTGTGCTTAAAAAAAAAAAAAAAAAACTCTTATTAAGTTTTAACAGCACCCTTAGTTGATTTGTCATCTTTCATCGTTTGTTCACTGTCCTCTGTAATGTACCTTCTATCCTGGGAGGTAAATAAATAAACGCGACTCGCCGACTCCTGTAACGTCATTTATTACGGCTTCGGGACTATTTTCGGTGCGTGAGCAGGATAGGACTTCAGACACACCGCTCGGAGACGCGTTCTATAGGCTTCGAAGCTTAGATGACACGGTCGTGGGATAGGGCGGTATTGGGTAGACTAAGCATCAGGCCTTTTGTATTTCGTCGGTAAACGCCAACATATACTTCGCAAGGTGCCCAGACGAGCTTCCTACCATCACACCACATCTTCCACCACATGTATACAAACGACCAGATCCCCCACCTGCTCCAAATGCGGAGATTACCCCTTCATCCCTCACATTTACAGGTCATACAACCCACCAAAACCCCCCTCCCTTCCCACATCCCTCTCCCGCATCCTTTCCTGGGAGGAACGGCGAGCTTTACCCGCGCCCACCCACGTTACTGCGACGTTACTGCGACGTAACCTGGCACGGCGCTCCCATCGCGGAATCCATCCGCCAGACGTGGACCGGACGGGTCGTCTCGACAGGGACGTGAGCCATTAACAAAATAAAGTTTTATCTCACTCTTTCTCTCTCTCGGAACGTGTTTCCTCACGCCCTCTGGTTGGCAAACATGAATAGGCATCCAGATTATGGCTTCAGGGAAATAGATCCCCTGTGGAATATCTGCCCCAGAAGAAGAGAAAAAGCCCCAGTCAGATAAAAACAAAACAAGAACAAATCCCACTTCGGCCACACATGAAAAGTCTTCGAAGGGCCTTTCAACTTTGTTTTTAATTAGCAATCAGAAGTAATTTTGAATGTTCATAGAACCTAGAACAGCAATCCGTTTTAGTTTCAGCTCTGGCAGTGTTTGTTGAGCGAGCCGACGGCAGAACGCGTCATCCGCTCGATACACACGTCGGGGTTTCCTACAAGTGGTATTGCTGCGAGAAAGCAGCACAGCGACGTCCAGAACTATTGAAACAAAAACAATTATTCATTTCATGGCCTTTAAGCTTTTCATTCAAGGTCATCTTGATTCCGGCGATAGTTTTGAGCTTTTGGAGAACTGAAATATTGGGGACAGATAGCGCTTTTGCTAGCGTTGCCACTTAGAAGCATGCCTTAAAGCGCACACTACTCTCTCCTTTTTATAAACCAACTTATATTTATTAGAAATATTTCCCTATAAAGTGCACTCGCAGGCTGATCAACTGCACAATTTAATTTGCACTATGCACAATTTAGTTAGCAAGGATAAACGCTGGTTCCTAAAAAAAAAATACCTCCCCTCCCCGAATTCACTAGTAAAAGCTTCTTTTTTTTCAATTTGTATGACTTTTTATTTTACTTCCATTAGCCTATGTCAGTTTTGGTGAATTCAATCAGACGACCTTGGTTCACTCGTTGATTTAACGCTAACTGCGCCACAGAACGGCTGCTGCCGCTGTCAAATACCGCTTTTGCTGTGGCTTCATTTGAATAAACGAGCTTAAATTTCTCCACGCGCCGTTAGCTTCAAGGCTCCGCAGAACCACGAAGTTCGCTAGAGCCCACCGCCATGAACCCATTTGTGAGAGCACAAGAATCCTTGGAGAGAACCCTATACCGAATGCCCCAAATGCCGCTATACACCCGTCACCAACTCCGGCGGAGAGGGGTGCATGTGATCTCTGACACTTTGCTTGCACCCTTCTTGTTATGCAAACTTCAACCCGAAACCGCGTCTCCCGTCCCCGGAGTGAAGATGTCCGGTCCAGCGGCTTTCCTGAAAGCACTGTCGGCTTTTCCAACCCACGCCCTGAAATATTTTGACAGCAGAATGGAAAAAAAGGGGGTCCGATACCAAACCGCGGACGTGTATACGCGCTGTCCTTTTCTCTGCCGCAAGGTCGACGCCATCGCAGTACGGTCATCGTCTGCTAAAGAGAGTCGGGGAGGTGGTTCCGCAACCGAGGCTCTGTTCCGTTCCAGCAACTCTTCTACCACAAATAACCCCTGTGAGCCCGCGAAGCGACTGACCGTGCCCGAAACCCGATCTGCAGCATTGAATTCGCGGATATTTTCCCCCGAAAACCTCCCGTTCTTTATTTCGAGTATTTCCCGTAAACGCGCAGTATACATTTCCTCGCTTGTTTCGTAAAAAAGAACGGACGAAGCGTGATATAATTCTCCCCGGGAAAAATCCGACCTTTAAGAAAGATATTGTGCTTACAATCCTAAGGGTATTCTTCGCCACCACTTCGCGAGTGAGGACACCGCGGTCGAATCGTTCGTTCATGTAACATCGGTGGGCACCCCCGGCTCTTGTTGGCCCCCGCAACCAACTGCGCAACGCTTACAAAAGCGTGTGTGTGTGTGTGTGGGGGGGGGGGGGGGGGGGGGTGTCACCCCGCATCGCGATGAAAGATCTTCGATTTTTCACCGTCTAACGTCCGCCTACATCCACGCGGACACACACACGCGCGCGCTCGAAAGAATGAGCGGGCGGCAACAAAAGGGGGACCGCCACAACGCCCGTAACAAGGATCCGTTTCAAATGGCTGCCGATTAGTAAAAGGCCATTTCTCCTCCGTTCTTCGCACCGGCGCGCCTTGTGGCGGCGCGCGTCTTCGGAAGTGCCCACCACCACAGGGAGAGCGAGTTAACCGGGCAGGTCTCCGATACTGATGCACGAAGCGAGTGAGCAACCGTGCGACAAAGTCTCCAAGTTCCGTGCAAGCTCCCCCCCTCCCCCCCCCCCCCCCCCCCCCGCTTTCCCCGCTTCTTCGTTTTCCGTATCCCTCAAAACTAAAAAAAAAAAAAAAGGATCGGGGTGGCCGCACAAAAGAAAGTCACCATTATTTTCTCACCTGGAGAATGAAGGGCAGCGCGCGCTCTCCCGTAGCTCCACCAAAGGCCGCGCGCATTTAACGCAAACTTAAAAATAAACCACAGAAATACAAATCGGAACATTGGGTGAGGGAAGTAAGCGTAGACTATACGGAAGATTGCGAGAGAGATGGGGAAGGAGAGGGGTGTCACGGTAGGCGGGAACCACTGTCGGGATTCTGCCGAGGGTCTACTTTCTCTTACCCCAGCGGAGGAATGGGGGACTGCTTCCCCCAGGATAGCCCCACTTTTAAGTGAGCCCCCTTCGCCCCCCCCCCCCCCCCGGGGTTTTTTCCCTTCCCCTCGTTTTCTACGTGGGTTAAAAAGAAAACTGCTCCCGCAGGAACGTGTTAGAAGGTGGTCTCCCTCCGTAATCGAAGACAGACCGCTCAGGTGTCGCTTCAGACGACGACGTGGCACTCTTCAGGGAATACTTCCACGGTCAGGAAGGGCTGTAATCATCTGAAGAGGGGCGTGGTACTCGTTTCTACTTGCCGATGGACGCTGAATTGCTATCACGTGCTTGCGGGCGGATGGTGTGGGTTGAACGAAAGGTTCGAAGGGTGCGAGCTTCATTTCATGTTAGCAAACACCTCCAGAGCTGCGTGACGGCGTGACAACGGGGACCAGTGATGATCGACATGCAGGCCGATATGCATCATCCATCTTCTGCGTTTATGCGAAGGAAGGTAAGTTGTGCCCTAATTTTATTTTAGGGATAATTTTACTTTCTGCATTTAAGCTTCTTTGTATATTCAAAATTCCTGTTTTAGCAGCATGGAAATTGCGCAAGTTTCAGTCCGACAGAGTGTTCCTTCTTATTTTGAGATAAATTAAAATTCTCAAAAGTGTTTTAAACAAAAATATGTAACAATTAAATCAAAGTTTATTGCGTGATGTTGTAGGGACTTTAGTTTTATACACCTATTGTTTTGAGAGAAAAAAAATATCGAAGCATCTCGACGTCCGGCCGCGACAGAGATAATAGTCAATAAAAAAATAACTAGATGCTCTTCAGGGTGTAATTAAGGCAGTACCACCTTTTATCACATGCCCGTTTGTAAACATCAGCTTCATTTCTCTTACCGCGATAATACTAGGAAAAGCTGGTCAGTGTCACCTTATAAAAATAAAGTGAAAAGCCTAACAATCATCAGGTTATGTCGATTAAATGCTTTATTTTATTGGGATAAAGCAAGAAACTAGTGTCCTGAGCAAAGGACTTTATGCAGGAAACAGTTGGAGACGTATAATACCGAGAAAAAAGTTACCACGCTTATATGTCACGAATAGGAGTTACTAACATATTTAGACAGTAGGCTCGTTCGATTTAGCTACCCGTCCTGCACCAGTGCAAAAAAGTGTAGTGTGGTCTACTTCCGGTATGTGTGTTCAGATACGACCGGAAGCACACTGCCCTACACCTTTCTGCACTGGTACAAAACGAGTAGGTAAATCGAACGAGCCTATTGTTCCCTAATCTCAGATTGTTTTGAGTTCAGCTTTCTATTCTAGTGACCAGTCGAAGAAAGCAGACTTTTGTTTCTTTTATAACACGAAGTTTGAACATTAACGAGGCGCAAGCTATAAGAAGTTAAGAAAAAGCGCCGAAGACAACAGAAGCAAGTTAAAAAATCACTTTATTTCACACTTCAAGATGAAAAAACTGGCCCAAATGACCATTTTGTTGCAATTATCTCGTAGACAAGTTGCCCATGTTCTCTTCAATGGACAGGTGATGAAGCCCCTGATGGAGAAGCGACGCCGTGCCCGGATCAACCACTGCCTTTCGGAGCTCAAGCGGTTTCTCATGGCTCACGACTGCGGAAGTTTCGAGAAGCAGAACTCGCGCTCGCAACGGGTGGAGAAGGCCGACATCCTCGAGATGACCGTCAAGTACCTCCGCGAACGCCAGTTTCTACTTCTTCAAGGTGAGTACATGCCCAGAAAGCATTATGGTGAAGCACGGCATGCTCCCATAGACTCGCGATCAACCAGCGACTTCTACATCCTAAAAATTTGATAGTTTTGCCTTACTCTGCAGTCTACACAGTCATCTCTCGATAATATGGTCGCCTTCGTTCCCCTAAAAAATCGTCAATAATGTGAGATGTCCCTAACAGCGAGACAAATAGGCATTTTACCTAGTTTGTATCCTGAAAGTTTTATCTATATGGTGGGGTATTAGTGTTGAAGAGGTGTGTACTAACGACTAATAAGACATGGCTGTGGCAGCATTGGAAATAACGCGCTAGTTGTAACGGCATTGCTCGCGATTCGTTACTTTATTTTTTTTTTTAATTGGGCGGCGCAGTAACGCTTACAAACGTACTCTTTAAAATTTTTAATATGTAATGGGTAATGGACTTGGTTGTTACTTTAGTTACGTAAATCACTACGTTACTCATTATATATTTTATTGTCAAGGCTGATACAAAGTGTAAATAGAAATTACATATTAAAGTTTTAGTGCTGAGACACGCCAAGGGGTGAGTATTGAGACACCAGTCTGCTCGACTTGACACGCATCTCACGTATGTTTGATGCCCTAAAATATTTTAAACGTGCAATAAATATAGAACGTATACGCGTATACCTGCTATGTCAAAATTGTAACACCTTTTTTTTTAATGAATAAAAAAATAGCGAGTAAGGTGTGCTTATTTTCACTGGTAGATTTAACGGCACCGCGTTACTCTTATATTAGGGACTCTTAGAGAACCGTTACCATGTTCCGCGTACCGCACTTTGAAGCATGCTTTTAAGGGCGCGGACACCGTGATACGATTTCCTAAAAGTCCCTATTGAGGTAACAAAAGAAGGTATACGAGTACCTTTTATTTAAAAAAGAAAGAGTAACGCATTCCGCTATACTTCGTGTCAGCCTAAGCTCAGACGCAGCCGACGCGACGAGCTAGTGGAACCAATCAAACAGTATCAAAAGCGCAAATCATTAGGTCTTTTCGGTTAATGATATGTTCAGCGATGATAGAACAGGTACAGAAACAGGACGAACACCATGATGGTGTCTTTTTGAAGCTGTCTCATTGGTCCCTTCAGCTCGTAGCGTCGGCTGTGTCTGGATTTAAAGGCCGAGAACCACACTCGAGATTCTGCAAGGCAGAAGATCCTCCTCACCGTGGGCAGAAAATAAACAGGCAACGGTGAGCAGGGAAGACGGAGAGGATGAAGCGAGGAAAAAGTGGAAAGCGCGAGCTGGTCGGTCGGTCTTTAAGGGGAAACGAAGTATAGCATGTAGAGCAACCGTTCATTTTTATTCCTGACATTACTGAAGTAAGCGTGGTAAATATGCGACAGATGTTGTGAATGTAAAACGTAGCTTTTTGTTGAATATGCTTCTGATTCAGAACAGTTCACAATATTTGTGTCATAGCTAAAACAAATATGTTCCTGCTCCTTTTTTTTTTCTTCTTTTTTTCTTGTAGACGATTATATAAATAAAAATCGCAAGGCGTCAAACCAGTAACCATATTTTAACCCGAGGAGTGTCCAATGCAGCTTTGCTGTGCATGAGGTACTCTATAAATGCGATAATACAAATTCCTTGTCTATCTTGTTTTTATGCTTTTCAGCACCAAGGTGAACGTTGCTAGTGATTTATTATTGAAACTTTTTCTTCGCGAAATCTTGTATTATATTTATAAATTGAGTAACTGGCAAAATGAAAACCCGGGAACTCCTTGGATAAATGAAGATGCAAAACACCCGACCGCTGCCTCTGCGCGCATGACGCTTTTTTATAGTGGGCTTCACAATCTGGATAATGTTTTTTTTTATACACGCTCAACATAAAACATAACAAGAAATCAGACCGACTGCACACTATTATACAAACTATGAATTTGATTCCCCACAACAAAGGTGCTTGAAATGTGTCGCAATAAAGACGGTAGGGAAACAACCGATTCAAGGCATGCAACGTAAAACACGAAATATCAAAGAATGCGATTATTTTCTACTATTATTTTTGCGTATCAAAAGCCTTAGTAATCCTCGTGCAGCTAAAATGCTGGTACCTTCCAAGCAAAATAATGTCTTCACTGTTTTGACAATTTTCATTGTGCCAAATTCTAAGCGTAGAAATTAATAATTGACTCTAGGCAAATTGCAAAAGCACGCAACAACTGTTACTGCGTTATTAATTGCGAAAACATTTATAAAAAAGGCGGTTAGAAATAAACACGGAGCGCAAGATTTATAAATATTCACGATTGCAATCTGATGTGCCTGTGATAGGGGCAATTGAAACGGGCTTTACATTACATTTCGTCATATAGACGCTTTGCAGCAGCTGTGCATGGGCGCCGCAATAACCAACCTTCAGTTTCTTTTTTCTCTCATTTTGATACTTTCGCTCCATCATTACCACAGCAGGACAGGTTATTTCCATCTTAGATTCGACCCCGTCCTTCTTCGCATAATTGGCCTTTGTGGAAACTCGTCTACGCCCGCTGCAGTGGCTTGGTATCTCGATAAGACAAGAGAAGGTCAGCAATGGCGGCCGTAATCTGGCACGTGCGCACAGTTTCTTTATAGGCCGTTTGTGTGACAAGGTGTGACATTAGTTAAACCGGCGTGCAGGATTTCAGCTGTAGTCCCTGATAGAATGAGAACGGAGGGCACCTCTTTTTGGTGTCCGGTCTCAAGCACGCGCTCTTCGCCTTTTTTTTGTAATTTGAGTGCGCGTGCACACTCCAGGCTCACCAGACGCCGAAGTGTCATCGAAGGTAGGAAGCTCGCGTAGAAGACAGGACAATGGAAGGACCACCCTGCGTTCTAATGTTCTAATCCTGTCAGTGACTAATAGCGACGTGGGCGACCAAAAGCTTCACTGTAGTCGGCTTTCCACAACTGGGCATACTTGAGCATTGTCAGGCTTTTAACTGCAGCAATGTTGGTTTGGGAACGCGATGGCTTCTCTAGCTTCCATTTTGCAGCTTAAACACGTTATTGAACTTGCGGTCGCAACTGACAATAAGTAGCCAGGGTCCATACTCGTGAAGTCACGGCGAGGCAAATCCTGGTCGCGACGTCATGAATGAATACCATAAAACGCCATGGTATATATCTCGGAGCTATAATAGTCACTGACAAAATAAAAGCGGCAGGGAGGAGTTTCAGTTGTCTCGCTTCCGGCGCAAGCTTCTATATACCTTCGATAATGATTCGGTGTCTCGAGAAAATTTTGAGTGTGCACGCGCAGTCAAAGCATGATGAAAAGCAATGAGCGCGTGCTGGAAGCCGGACGTTCGAAAAAGACTTACCTTTGTTCTCACCTTGTCAGAAACTATACAGTCCTCCGACGTCCGCTACCATCGAGGCACGTGGTGGTCTTCTCCGAAAATAAAAACACTTACGAGCTGTCCCGATGTCTTTTTTCTCCGATAGAATCCACGGGCGAGGAAGAGCGGACGCAGAGGTTCCACGAGGGCTACAAGCACTGCGTCTTCGAGGTGACCCGCTACGCCGACGCCCTGGAGCCTCAACTTCGCCAGACGCTCCTGTGCCACCTGCAAACGCGGCTCGGTAACCTCAGCGCCAGAGTGCGCGCCAATAACTGCCCGGACCAGGAGCCGGTCTCCTCGACGGACGGCGAGCCCGGGCGACGGACGGGCGGCCCGAGGTTCGACTACGGCTACGAGACCAGCTCCCCGACGGACGTCAGCGAGGAAGACTCGTCGTCCGAGTGCGGCGACGGGCCCACCGACGCGGAGCCTTTCGCCCGCCCCAGTCAGCAAGAGGAACCCGAGGACTACCGCCTGAACAGGGAACAGCGGCAGCTGGAAGAGAACGGGAACATGTTTATGTGGAGACCCTGGTAGCTTCGTAGTTTCCCCTCGTGACTGGAAGCGAGGGGCGCAGTTCCTACGAAGTACGGTGCCCTGAGCGCTTCTCCTACTGGTGTGTTTACTGCGTCCTCAAATGTGATCCCTGATTTCCGCCTGGTCACGTCACACTTTTGTAATGTTGTAGCCGGCTACAGTCCCGGCGATGGCATAGCGGCGAAAGCGAATCGATGCCATTTGAAAGAAAGAGGCCTACACCCCCCCCCCCTGACGTCATGACTAGTGGATCCACGCAGCATCGCCGCCAGAACGACATGCAGTGCTTCACAACGAGCACGACATATAGCACGCGGCGGCGTCATGACGTACACGCGTCTGCCGCTTTGTAGCGACTCTCGTCGGATGTTCAGAGCGTTTGCCGCTTGAGGCGGGTCGGGGATTCACTAACAATGGCGTCATGTGCAGGCCTTGTCCCATAGTAGGGTATTGCGCGGATACGGCAGAGGCCTGTTCCACTGTGGTTCGCTCTCAGCTCCCCGATTCACGAAAGCTTCTGCAGCAACGCGTCGAGACGTCGCGACAAAAACAACATTAACATTCGCTCTTTTTTTTTTTTTTTTTTAGCCGCTAGGATTGCGACATTTAACGGCATATCAAGTCGACTCCTGTGACATCATATGTTGCCACTTCGAGAGTTTTATTCTTTTTATTTTATTTTTTTTTTTTTTTTTTTTTATGAATGAGTGACATAGAACGCTAGACCTACCAGTCGAAGACGCGTTCCAGGCGCCATATACTACCAAGTCTTCCGCTCTGAGAGTGTGTCACAAGAAAGAAGGCGCAGTGAATGTCAAATGCGCCGTGTTTATGAAGGAATTTTGTGCACCGTCTCCGATGAAAGCAACAATGCGCAAGGTCAAACCTCGAAACGAACGGAAACGACGAGCGTTGACACTGAACCTTGACAGCAGTGAGTGCGTAGCCATAGAGCACAGAGTGGTTTGACTTTAAATAGGCCACTGTCGTTTAAGCGTCGATAGTAGAGTCAACGAAGCGAGTGGCCTTCGGCAACACTCGGGTGACATGAGTTTCGTGCGCGCCCAACGGGAACTATAGCTGCGATCATATCAAGCAGTGTCGTGGCTGAAGCTTCCGAGATGTGCATGCCAAACTTGGCGGAAGATTAAATTATATGATTGTCTTTGAATTCGTACGCATTTTTGTAAATAGATTCATCGTCTGTAAAGCTATTATCGCGCCACAATTCGTTTTTTTTTTTTTTTTTAGAATATAGTACATATTATAACCCGCATCTGGTTCATTTCCTGGACGGTTTGTGGACCGACGCTCACATTGGCCGAATTGTATAATAACCGCCATGTGGTGCCCCCAGCGTCCAAGTACGTAATGAAGTGCCGATTTTACACGGATCTGGTCATCAATAAATGTGCTTTTGCAAAGAAAATTTGTGTTCGTCCGTATCATGCTCATTGCTCATGCCTCTGTGATCCATGTGAAGCGCTCATTGAAGGCTGTGTACAAGGCGTACTGCCCTAGTTCCTAAATGGACAGGTAAAAGTAAACATTTATTATAAAAATATCGAGTTATATATAAAATATCAGGAAATACAATTTTATGAAATTACTAACATGGTAACCGAGGAGCGTTAGAAAAACGGGACGGACAACACAAAGTTCCAAACACAGTTCAATCCCGTTTTCTTGACATTCCTGGGTTACCATGTTAGTATTGAACCAGCCCACCTGCACTTTTGATTTAGTTTATGAAATTAATTTATATTTATTCGGTGTAAAGGCTGCCTGTCACGAAGCGCATAAAACGTATTTTTCAAGTATTATTTTTAGGTCTTGAAACGCACCGTCAGTATTTTCTTGTAAACAACGCAACCATCAGCCAAACGGGAAATAAGAAAATAAATTTAAGAGAAAAGATTGTTTACACTAATAAAAATACCGATAATATTAATTACTGTTTCCTGGGGAAGAGCCAAAATCCAATTACTGTTTTTCTAAGAAAGACACGAGTAATAAAAATTAAGCAACCTATTGAATTAGTATAGTTAAATGGACTTAGATAGGGAAAATTAAAAACATAGGTGATTATGTGGGGGTTTCTTTAGTAGGTTGACATATCCAAGGGAAAAAAACACCTTAAGTTCATGAGCAGTTTGTTAGTAAGTAAAAAAAGTTGGACCTAGAGTGACCTAAACTACTTATAGACAGCTCACCGTAAGAAACTGAAACAGCGTTTAAACTGAAAAAGCGATGACAGGAAGTTTCAGTACTCCCCAATTCTCTAAGTCAAATTTATCCTGGTGACAAGAGAGGCACACATCATTTTCGTGTTCCAAAGTGAATTATTTTTATTGGAACAAAAAAAAACAAAAAAACAGCGTTCCTATTTGTATAGATCCGATAGTTTTAGCTACGCCGGTGGATGTTGTTACAATATGATATTTTAGAACACTTGGCAGAAACATTTTTTTCCATATTGAGATGGGTGATGTCAAAGTTTTCGAGGAAAACGTTTGAAGTTTTGACCTTGTGAACTTCCTTTGAAACATCAAAGCGTCATTACATATTATGTGGCGTATGCCGCGTAACTAATGTTTATACACTTGAAAACATCTTAAAGTAAGATTCTTGACTATAGTGTGCCGTAATTTCATTAGACCTTAGCGTGTTTTGAGGGCCATTAATACGCAGTTAAGTCGTCAAAGTGTTTTTTTTTTAGTTCTAACCTTGGTAGTTTTCCTGATTAGTTAAAAACGAAGTTTTTAATTTTTCTTTTAGTCGGTCTGGGTTTTGTCGAACTAGAAACAAAACAGCAACCCTGATGGTTTATGTGGCGTTTTACTTAACAAAAATGTAACCCTGCAGAGAGCCAAAGCGATTAGTCTTCTAATATATTCGCCGTTTTATAAAAATAAGAGACCTCAAAGGAAATATTTTCAAGCATCGCTTGAAAATAGTTTTTTTAAGGTCTCTTATTTGCTTACAAAGCAAATAGTTTTAGAAGATTTGCTTACAAAGCAAATCTTCTAAAACTTAACATTCAAAGGAAGCTGAAGAGGTTCCTGAAAAAAAAACGAGTTAAAGGTGAATTCTACAGTATTTTTTATCCCGTGAATCTAACTACCACGTTCGTTTTCCCCGGAGATGTAGCTAAGCGCGAGAAAGCACGAAAAACCTCCGACCAATCGTATATACGTTATGCCCTGATCATTCGGTCGCCAAGCACGTGTCGCTCGTGTGGGCAGCGCGTGCAATAGACCTATTGAAAAATTACCCAAGCATCAAGAAGCATACAGGGAACGTAGTCATACGCGCTGCGCGTCCTGGCGTTGGCAATAGCATTTTTTTAACCAAAAGTCTAAAACAAAAGTGGCAATTCGCACGTGCGTCCGCAAACGCCATTTAGTTATGATATCTTTGAAACCTTTAATACGTATAAAGCGAGTGAGTGCAGCGCGTGTAACAACGTACCCTGCATGCATCTTGATGTTTAAGTAATTTAGCAATAGGTCTATTGCAACCTTGCCAGATATATTCTCCTGCACTGACACCAGTCGTGAAGTCTTTTTTTTTACCTTTTTTTTTTGAAAACTGCCGGAATGCGGGTGGATAGCTTTGATAGGCGCTGAAGATGCGCGAGAGCGGAGATTCCGAGAACTATTTTTATGGCGTCAAGCTCCGGAAAGGAGTGGCTTCAGCGGTACTTTGAAACTGATTTCCTGCAGCCTCCGCGAACGAAATTAAAAAATAATCTCAATATTCGAGATCCTGGAAGTCGATCTAATTGTTGTTTTTTCTCAAATACAAAGCCGCTTCTGTTTTTTCTTTAACGCAACTGTTGCCGCTGTGAATCGTACACACCTTATGTGGTCGTTTGCAATTTTTATTTTGCTTAATGATGTTGACCTCAAAAATAGTTGTGGTTCCGACACATTACTTAATGAGTTTTCAAAGTGGTATACAGAGTGGATATCAAAATACTTCTACGCCATTGTACGTGTTTTTTTTTTCGTTATAAAGTTTTACTTACACACGAGAAGATAGAAAAAAAAAGCATTCTCTATTCAGTCATCTGATGATCGTTATAACCCAGCAAATTACAGACGTTTCATTGTCTGGTACTTGCCGCAAAATTCTTCGGCATGTAAGCTTTCAACATATGATAAAGTATCTCAATATACAGGTTTGATTTTTAAGCTTAACAGCTTTGTTTAAAAAAAAGCCGTGAAAGTTACACTTATGCCGCTTGTGGAGGTGAGTTATACGGTCAGGGGGACATATTATAGGGGGCTTATCCTAGCGATCAGTTCCACAATTAATTAAAATTCATTAATTAACTTTTTAAATAATGAAAATAGACATATGGTTCCAATTAGAAACTTGCTCAGCGTCATCGAAAACCACTAAATCAGTCATTTTCAGAAAGACTTTGAGCGCGTGAGAAGCGTAGTATTGTACTAAAGCCACCACTCGTGGAGCAGGTACAAGGCTGGGGCTAAATAAAAGACGGAAAAATCACTCGGGCGTCTTATCGCAAGCGCTAGCTTTGTACCTGCTCCGCGAGTGGTAACTTTTGTGCACTACTACGCTTCTCACCCGCTCAAAGTCTTTCTGAAAATTACAGATTTAGTGGTTTTCGATGACGCTGAGCAAGTTTCTAATTGGAACCCTATGTCTATTTTCATTATTTAAAAAGTTAATTAATTAATTTTAATTAATTATGCAACTGATCGCTACGATAAGCCCCCTATAATATGTCCCCCTGGACGTATAACTCACCTCCACAACCGGCATAACTGTAACTTTCACGGCTTTCTTAAAACAAATCTGTTAAGCTTAAAAAAAACACCCTGTGTATATACAGGGTGTCACAAAAGAAAATTTACACGGTCTTTTTTACCGCAAAAATAAACTAAGCCTCGCCGAACGCTCATTCTCCGCCCAAAAGTAGAGCTAGAGGTCACAACCAGATGCCAAAGTTTCAGCTCGATCCGATAACT